ACGCATGTATTTACCTATTGACCCAGAAAGAACAGCTCATTATCTGCCTCATGCATATTTATGAGGGGAAAAAAGGCCATTATAGGCTAATTCCCGATGGGGCAGTTGCCAGAGCTGTTGAATGTCAAGTGTTACACAGATTGTTATAACTACAAAGCAATGGAATATCCAAACTACCCCTCGTTCCTCGTGCCCACACATCAAAGGCATACCGCGTCCGGTGTTTTGATTAACTGTCACGTGAGAGTGTGTGTAACTTTATTGCGTCTACAACGGTCGTTGGGGCGTCTAGGAAAGTGTCTGGGGATGTTGCAAAGTCCCTCGGTAATTACCTAGCGGGTGCGCGAGTTAGGTGTATGTAAATATCTTGCGCTCGCTGTAATTTGACAAATATTCAAGTGCAAATGCAATTGTGTCACTTTCTAATGCCATCCATGTCATTACAGATGCCATATATGTAAAGAAAACGAACTTTGAAAGGTTCGAATGCGTGATTTTATGCCACAGTCCTGGCGCGTTAAAATTTGCATATAACATTAGCGCGTAACAAAGTTGTGATAAAGGAAAGAGTGGTATAAACAAGAATCAGTGATTACTTGAAATCGATACCAGGAAGGGGGGTAAAAGAAAAGTTATATAACATTTTATTATTTAATAATTTATTAAAATACATATGTTTGTCCAACTCCCTGTGCAATCACTAAGAACATTGCTCGCAGTCATCCAATCTCGATTTAGTTGGATATTCAAGCCAGTTTATTCAGTTTTGGGCGGGATCGCATGTTTTCTAGTGCCAGATATATGACTTTTTTTCAGCCAATCAGATTGCTATATTCGATATAACCATGTTATAATAGTACACATCAAGCGTTTACAAAATAGAGGGTATGGAAGTCACGTGATATACGTAAAGTCACACAAAGTGGGAAATTATCAAACATTAGCAGGACATTTATCAATTTAAACCGTTACAGTCGTCGCGAAGCGCGTGTTTTATATTCGTGTAAATAAACAATAATTTGTACACGCTGTACGTCGCTATGAGTCCCATATCAAACAGTTTCTGAATGCAGATTAGTTTTCATGACATTCCTCGGTTACCGTCCACGACGTTCTGTGATGACATTCGTCGATTGAAACTGTTTGTACACGCCTAAACGTTCCTTTACTCGACTTTGTTTCTTCAGATCCCGCGTATTCTGCTACTTTGTTGCAGCATGCCGCCGAGTTGTTCAATTTTGCCAATACATACCGCGGCATATATCCTGGTCAAGATTACAGGTAAAGATTTTAATTATTATCTTCATGCAACATATTGCAAAACCATTGAAAAATAAGAAGTGTGTACGAGCTTCGAATTATCTGTAAGCGTTTAGTCTCAGCAAATATTGTTACGCCAGATCAGAAAGATTGTATATATTACATGAAAATTATTATATATGATATTTTTGTTGCAAAGAATATTGATGTACATAGATTCATAAATTTGTACTCGAAAATGTGAATAGAACGTGTGGTGTTAAACTATGTTCTAACACGCTTGTTCGTGATTTATTTCTACGAACAAAATGTAATTCTTATGTTCACCAAACTGAATCTAGTTCAACTAGTTATGGCGACGAATTGGCATTGGCTGCGTGTTGGTTATACTACGCCACCAACGACATATCATATATTCAGACAGCAGAAGCGTTGTATGACGAGTTTACGCTTGGAACGCCATCGTGGGCGTACTCGCACCAACAGAAGAACCCCGCTGTGCAGGTAAGATATATTATAGATGAGAAATAACAAACAAACAAATAAAGACAGAGACAGACTTACATGCAGGGAGACAGACAGATACAACAACATTATTAAATAAGCTTCAAGTTATTTCAACCTTCAATAAGTCAATTTTATGCAGCATAATCATTTAGACGATATAATGACATGTTTGTCCGTATCTTGAGATTAATAATTACTACTTCGTTTCACAGACGAGGTTATAGTTTTGTCGATACAAGCATTGGTAACCGCGAAATCACTTACTATAGAGCATTCGTAAAGGTTGTGCTGGTTCATAGTGTAGTATGTTTTAGTATATGCACGGTTGTGCTCG